ATCCTTTTCACCACTCTAAGGCCAATATGATTGACTCACCTGCTTGTCTTTTTGTAGCACCTACTCTTCTAAACTTTTAATTTCTTCACTCTGTCTGGCCTGTTAAGGTTTCTTAGAGGAAATCCCAAAATGGTCCTTGTTATCACCAAGTAAATTCATGGCCTTCAGCCTCTCCAGGGCCCTCAGTGTAGCCCAGAAAGCCTTCTATGTTTCCACTGTCTATGCTGCTGTTTTCAGGGTCTGTTACAAACTCCACCATCTGTTCTCTGAGTCTCTTCAGGCAAGTCTTTGGAGCTACTGTCAAAAAGACATAAAAAACTGACAAGGACGCATAAAAAAGGGAAGTCTTATATGCTGTTGGTGGGAATGTAAATTAATACAGTCATTATGGAAAAAAGTATGGAGGATTCTCAAAAAACTGAAAGTAAAGCTACCATATGATCTAGCAATCCACTGTTAGGTATTTATCCAAAGAATAGCAAATCAGTATATCAAAGGGATACCTGTACCCTCATGTTTATTTCAGAACTATTCATAATAGCTAAGATAACCTAAATGTCCATCCACAGATGAGTAGATAAAGAAAATGTGCTATTATATACACAACGGAATACCATTCAGCCACAAAAATAAAAATCCAGTCATACGTGCAAACACAGATGAGCCTGGAGGGCATTATGTTAAGTGAACTAAGTTAAGCACAGAAAGGTAAATACCGCATGTTCTCATTCACATGTAGGAACTACATAAACATTCTCAGTTCATGGAAGTAGAGAATAGAATTGTTGGTATTAAAGGCTACAAAGTGAGGGGGATGGGAGAGGCTGCTTAATAGATACAAAATTACAGCTTGAGAGGGGAAATGAATTCTGGTGTTCTGCAGCACTATGACATGACTATGGTTAACTATAATTTATTGTATATTTTGAAAAAGCCATAAGAGAGGATTTTAAATGTTCAGCACACAAAGAAATGATAAATATTTGAGGTGATGAATATGCTCATTTCTCTGATTTGGTTATTACACATTGTATGCACATATTGAAATATCACACTGCCTACCATAAATATGTACAGTTATTATATGTCAACTGAAAATAAAAGGAATAAAATCCAGTCTATTCCCATAGATAAAAATTATATTTGGAAAAAAAATTATATTTGGTATGGTTTTAATTTGTACTTTTCTTGTTATGATTGAGGTTACTTTCTTTTCATTTGAGATACTTTTATTTCTTTTTCTCTGAATTATTCATGCTTTTTCCATTATTTTCTGTTATATGAGTTGTATTATTCTCCTAGTTTGTTTATGTATTTTGTCTTTGCTTTCATTTCTGCAATTCAGGAGTTTTGGTTTTTATGTAATTGAATTTATTAATCTTATTTTATGATTATTAGATTATGAGTCATAGTTAGAAAGGCCTTTCCCATACCTAGGAAACTCCCAGTTTTCTAATACTACCCTTTTAAAAAAAACATTTAATCTTTGGTGCATTCACAATTTGTCAGGGTAAAAGATACAAGGTGTGGATCCAACTTTTTAAATCCAGATGGCTTTCCAGTTGTCCTAACATTATTTATTGAACAATCCATCTTTCCTCACTCATTTAAGGAACAACTTTGATTATTGTATTTTCTAAATTCCCATATGTATTTATTTCTAATATTGCTTTTTCTATTTTGTTATTTCTATTGATTGGTGTACTCATAGTCAGTTCCATACTGCTTTATTTAATGAAGCTTTTATAGTATGTTTTAATAACGGTTTGGCCTAGTCTTCTAGTCCGTGTTTATTGCTGGTTTTATTCACAGGCTTCCTAGCAATTCTTGCTTGTTAATTTTTTACATATGACCTTCAGAATTAACTTGTCTGGTTTTAAAAATAAACAAATAAGTAAATAATTAAAAACAAATAAATGTTGACATTTTTATTGAAATTATGCTGAATTTATAAATTAACTTGAGACTTGCCAGTTATGGAAACTTGCTTTCTAAGAATATGATATGTGTTTCCATTTATTCAAATCTTTTGTGTTGTTGAATAGTTTCAAAATTTTCTTTATAAAGTTGTTGCTTTTACAAATGGAATCTTTTCTTTCATTGTATCCTATTTATTACATCTTGTAAATATAAAAACTACTGATTTGCATATATTAATTTTTTACCCTATAAATTATATTAATTTTAAAGTCACTTCAGTTTATTGTTTTGGATGTGTGTAGGAGATTGTAGTAGTCACCAATATATGCTAATCCCATATAGTCTTTTTACAATGTAACATTAATGCTCTTCCATCAAGACTTGGGAGTCTATGCTCTCTTCCCTTGAATGTGGGCAGGGCTGTCACTACAGCAGATGTGACACTATGTGACTTCCGAAGCTAAGTTCAGGAATATACTTCTCACCTGGACCTGCTGGAATCCAGGTACCATAATGTGATAAAACCAAGCAAGCACATGGAAATGACACGTAGTCACATGGGATGAAGCCAAACAGCCACATGGAAAGGCCGCATGTAGTTGTTTCAGTCACAGCCTCTGCTGAGGTCTCAGCCAACAGCCAGCAGCAATCCCTGGATGCGTAAGTGAGCGAACCTTCAGATGACTGTAGCCACCAGCCTTCCAGTCACCCTAGGAGATACCCAGTGACGCATAGACGAGCTCATTCTACCAAGTCCTGCCCAAGTTGCAGATGTGTTAGCAAAATACATGTTGTTGCTTTAAGCCACTAAGTTTTGGGGTGGTTTGTTGGTAGTAATAGATAACTGGAACAAGTTTGTGTGCATGTGTGCGTGCATCTGCGTTCGTTTAAAATCACGTCATCTGCATATTGTGATAATTTTACCTTTTTTCATTTTAATTTTTATAACTCTAATTTTTCTCTAGTTGTGGTCTAGGGATAAAAACAACACACTCAATGTGATGTATGTTTCCTTCAAAATCCAGTAAGACACACCAAGCAATGTGCCTCTTTCCTAGTGGTAATGCATGCAAAATGAAACAATTTGATTTCACTATAGAGAGCAAATATTAGCATGTTTCACTCAGATCACTGGAGCTTTAGAACCTTCACAAGGGTAGATGACTCCAGATTTCTTTTTTGAGGTGGCCATTTGTCTATTATCCTGTCATGCATGTGTCTTACCAAGGTGTCTAGGATACTGGCTGCATCATCCAAGCAGTATGATATAATCAATGTGAATAGAAATGTGATGTCCCATGGAATGATTGGACAACCAAGGTCACCGTATACTATATCACAGTATAGAGCCAGAATTGAAATAGCCTTGAGAAAATATAGTGAAGACATACTGCTATCCTTGCAAAGTAAAAGGAAATTTTAATACGTTCATACCATATACCAAAGATTGTATTGATTTACTCCAGCAAAGGGAGATCTCTTCTGGAAGAGCTGTGGTAAGTGGAGTCATCACTTAAGTAAGTTTACAATAATTTATTATCGTTCTCCAAAATCCATCCATCTTTTGTACACAGGCAGTATTAGTTTGCTAGGACTGCCCTAACAAAATACCACAGACTGGTGGGTTAAACAATAGAAATTTATTTCTCACCATTCTGGAGGCTAAAAGTCCAAGATCAAGGTGTCAGCAGGTTTGATTCCTCTGAGACCTCTCTCCTTAGCTTGTAGCTGGGGGCCTTCTCATCATGCCCTCATGTGGTCTTTGCTCTGTGTGTGTATGTTCCTGGTGTCTCTTTGTGTGTCCAAATTTCCCTTTTTATAAAGATACCACTCAGATTGGATTAGGGTCCGCCTTTATGGTTTCATTTTAACTTAATCATCTTTAACTACAGTCATATTCTGAGATACTGGGTGTTAGTGCTTCAACCTATGAATTTTAGAAGGGGCACAATTTAAGCCATAACACAGGTCAAACAATTAACTGTAGTTGTGGTGGCAACCACTAACCTGGGAGCCTTCAAGCCTTTGATGGTGGCACTAATTGCAGCAGTCATTCCCAGGGTGCGGTATTGCTTTGCTTTTCTGTTTTGGTGGATTTCTGCTTGACCTCTCCTTCTTAACAGTCCCAACTCTGGTAATTCCACTAGATGCATACTACATTTCTAGCAAATATAAGTATAATGTGAGTTCACCATGAGGCACCTGGGCCTGAATTGCACATTGTTTCATATTAAAATTGCAACCCTTGTTTCTTTTCATTTATAATGTTCAGGTGTTCTTTTGCCTATCTTCTTTGCAATCTTTCATGATTACTTCATTTTGTGTTTGTTTTGCAATATACAGCATGGAGCCGGGTTTTCCCAACTCTTTTTCTTTTAGTATTGAGTCAAACTCTTTTATATTTATTGATATAACACATATGTTTGGCTGGAGTTATTTCATAGTATATTATGATATGTGTTAGTTTTCTATACAATCATATTTTTCAACTGAACTCTTCTCCTTCAGGCTGAAATTTTTAATAATTTAGTTAAAAATGGAATGTATGTACATTTACTATTAAAGTATATCTGTCTTGATTTATCTGTAAATAAATTATCAGGAGCTTTTAGAAACTTCTCTCCTTCCTTTATATGGTATAGGGCCCATGGGAGTGGCAGTAAGAATAATCAGGCTCACTTAGGAAGTGGTTAGGCTTGTCTTAAATTACATTTAAATTTAAATGTAAGTTAAAATTAAAATTTTTTAAATTAAAAACTTTATATTTCTAAGATTTTTGAATTTTAAAATTTAATTGTAATTTCTGGAGTAAATGGTTTTATATCACTTGTTGATCTTTCTTAGCATAAACGATACCTATATTTATGTTAAATAATAATGTATAATTTATAACATGTTTTTCTACCTTAAAAATAATCATGGTCAAAGACTTTGTAAATTAACTTTTTAAAATAACTATTCTTTTGTAATTATCAAAAAGATACACATTTTTAAAATTAGGAAATTATAGGAAAGAACCAGTTTCAATAAACCCATTTTCAACAGGTAATAGAAAAAAATAAGAAAGGAGACACCAGTGTTGTTAGGATTTTGAGATGTACCATTTGACATCAGTTTGGGGTTGTTTTGGTCTTTATTAAAGTTAGAGTTTGAATCCAGGAAAAGTTTCACACAATTAAATCAGGAGATCAAATACACTCAGGGTTTAGACTAAATTGATGTCATTGTTACTAACATTGCCTGTTTGAAGCAACTGTGACATTATTGCAATAGGAAACATCTACCCTTACCCTTGGCCCACAGGGTGGCATAGGTTCATTTTCCAGCCACTTAGGGCTAAATACACAGAAGCTTTGCTTTATGTCTGCCCCTTTGACTTTAACATATTTTTCAATAAGAAGCACAATAGAATTTTATTCTTTCTTGATTAGATGGAGTTATAATTGCAAAAATAAAAATCCAATGCCCAATTTTGGTTTTAAAAGTAGAAAAGTGGAAAAAAAAAAGATGTTATTACCAATAATGAATTTGGGAAGAATTATTTAAAACAATGAGGGTGAATCATTTTGGAAACAACTGTATTCTATTTTTATGCATATTTTTTTGTATAAAAGATGTCCTTCCCCTTGGGTTGGGCGGTGATGCCATTGCTTCCAATGCCTGAGCAGTAACGAGTCTTCAATGGCAGCTCAATCCAGCTCTTCCATTTAGTCTTGAATTTCATTCCAATTTAGGCTTCTCTTTCTCTTCTTCCATACCTAGAAATATAGGCAAAGTGCTTTATTTGAGCATCAGATTAAACTATGGGCAGGTTTGCTAAAGCTGCTCCCAAGAAATCATGTCTCCTCCCTTCTCCCATCCACCCTCCTGACCCACTCCCTTTTCCCCCTCCTAGATAAGAAGGAAAGCATTCATGACTGTCTCCAAAACATCCTCAGTGCCTTTTCTCCCCACCCTTTCCCCAGAATCAGGACACATCTCTGGGACACACCCAGCTCCCATGGCCTCTGGGAGAGAGGGCTGCAAGCACATTTGTGACTCGCTGGGTTTGCGCAGAAACTCTAACAGGCTACTTTTAACCAGCTTCCAGCAACAGGACGTGTGCACCTCATGCCTTTCAAACAGGCTTAATTTATTTTTACTTTACTTCTGTCCCTTCCCAAGGCACGGAATCTGGATGTTCATATGCCAAGAAGTTTATTATTTTAAGCTCATAAAAAGCTTATTATCCACAAGAATTGCTTATAAAAGATACCCAACTACCTTAAACTCAAGCTGTCTCTGTATTCAAACCAATCCTGGTAGAACTGTTTTTCTCCCTGAAGGACCTGTGTGTACTGGATTAGTAAGACCTTTGCCTGCTGTCTGCTGTGAATAGCCATGTCTCATTTTCCCAGAGATGAAAATGTTCAAGTCATTCTCATGAATTATGGTGAAATCTGACAAATGCTTCTCGCTTCTTTTTGCTTTGGCTTCTAGTGAAACATTTTTCTAATCATACCAAATTCTTAGAGACTTATTGTTTGTTTTGTTTCAATAGCAACAATGGAACAAAAGAACTCAAAATACTGCTTTGTAGGTTTTATTAGTATTCTTTCATAAATTGCAAGCTCTCTGAGGGCCAGGGCCCTTCATTGTTTTGTTCCTGACTATAGCCCTAGCACTTAACACAGCATCTGTCTCATAGTGAGAGCTCAATTAATCAATGTTGAATAAATTAATAAACAATGAACATTTAGAAGGTCTCAGAAGGCTGGGCTAGTGGAGAACAGCAGAACAAGAATGGGACTCTACACTGTAAAAAAATTGTGATGTCTAACCCCAGAGGATCATAATGACAGGGTTTACATTAGGAAGGACCCCACCTTACCCCCGACCTCTGTCTCCTAGTATATGTCTTGTGGGGTCAGAATAGTGTCAATGGGAGGTGGGTAGCATGCTCTGAACAGGTGTCTGCAGGCAGTCTTTTAGGTTTGGTTTTCATGGCTAAGGAACTGGCAGAGATTTAGAACACTTTTTCCAAATTCCTTCTCAGAAATCATACTAAGGAAACCTTCAAATTGAGGAGTCAGGACATCTGAAGGGTTGAAGGTGAGAAGGTACAATATGCCTTCGTTGTTGGGTAACCAAGGCAAAGGCAGAAAACACAGCCCAGATTCCACTCAACCAGCACACATGTGACTAGAGTCCCAACTTCCGTCCCATGTTCCCTCTCCTGTGGAGAAGCTATCAGGGCCTAATAGCAGTTTGCTTTTCTTTTAAAAGTCTGTTTCCTCCAAAGCATTCTCCTACAGATGGGTTGACTTGGCAGCAATGGTGGAATCTTCAAAAGCGGGGGTGGAGAACAGGGGGTGTTCATTGACCTAGAGAGGGAAAATGGCTCCCCACTACTTTAGTTTGACAGTTGTGAGGGAGAGGGAAAAAATTAGATAGCTGTAAATAATGTTTGGAAGAACAAGGGGTGTAATTTCCACACAAAAAAGCAGAAAGAAACCTGTCACAAAGCTGAGGCAGGATGCACTTAGGGGGACCCAGGGGACAAGGCTGACGGGCCCTGAAGGAACCAGTCATGTGCCCTTCCTGCAGGCTGGGAGAGAGGCCCAACAAGGGGGCAAGCTCTGGGGGGAAGTGATCTGGAGAGGAAGCTGGAGGAGAAGGAATGTGAGGTTTCTGCTCACAGAGAACTGGTGTACTTTGCCCTCACCCCAACCTTTTGCTTTTGAGTACTCTCATTTCCTGTCTTCTATAATCAAATTTGACGATAATAAGACCGGTCACCTCAGTCAGATACACTGGGGCTGGGATAGAGCTTAAGTACAGCTGCTTTGGCTGTTATGCATTGAATTTTGTCCCCCTCCTCTCAAATTCATATATTGACGTTAACTCACAGTACCTCAGAAAGGGAGATAGTGCCAAGGGTGTGGCTGGACAACTATTTGCTAAAGAAATTAGGTTGTGACTCATGGATCCAATCAACCATCTCAGCAGAAGCCAGAAAGAGAGAGGTGGTTATCCAGGAAGGACCTGGGGAGTTCCCTCTTGTCCGACTGCTTGAAGCCCATGAATTGCATGGGAGGCCAACATGGTTTTTGAAAATTTTACACCAGGAAAAACAGTCCATACTGGAATGAAAGGGCCAGAGACAGAATGCAATGAAGGGCCAATGACTCCAGCCACCATTCAGGGACTGCTTCCTCCTTGGTGGCAGAGGGTGAGGCTGCTACCCAGTGCTGAGGGGGCAGGGTTAGTGTTACTGGTACCTGGAAGGTGGGGCTCCCTACTCCTTCCCCAGTGAGCCCTGAGGACAGAGCACCCCGCCAAGAGGATTGTTTTTAAGCCTTAACACTGAATGGAACTTTCCCTGCTTGTTTTCAGACTTGCTTGGGCACCATGACCCCTTTTTTCTCTGCAATTTCTCTTGTTCAGAATGGGAATTCTATGCCTGTCCCACTTTTGTGTTTTGGATGCAGATAACTTTTTGTCTGGTTTCCCAGGCTCACAGGAGATCAATTTTGCTTCAGGATGAATCATATCCTGAGTTTCACACGTACCTGCTTTTCATGATATTTAAGATGAGATTTTGGATTTACTTAAGAGTTGATGTTGAAGAGACTTTTGGACTTTGGGATGGGGCTGTTTTCTTTGCCTGAAGGACATGAACTTTGCTGGGGGAGAAAGTGCAGTGTTATGAGCTGAATGTGCCCCCCTAAAAAAAATTCAAATGGTGAAGTCCTAAGCCCCAGTGCCTCAGAATGTGACCTTACTTGAAGATAGGGTCTTCATAAAGTTAACATGAGGTCATCAAGGTGGTCTCTAATCATATATGACTGGTGTCCTTACTTTTAAAAAGGCAAGAATTTAGAGACAGTCTCACATACAGGGAGAACACCAGAAAGGCCTGGAACAGATTCTTCCCTCACAGTTCTCAGAAGGAGTCAGTTCTCCTTCAAGGTCCAGCCAAGACCTTGATTTTGGACTTCCAGCCTCCATAAATGGGAGTCAATAAATTTCTATACTTTGTTATGGTAACCTTAGCAAACTAAAGCAACTTCCACAAAGCCATCCTGAGTGACTTGGTTTTAAAAAAAGCAAGGGCTCGACTATTACTTTAATCTATTTTAAGGGCTTTTTAAAAGTTCATATTTCATATCAGTTTGGCCTATTTTGTTGTTTTATAAGCTAGGTCTGTAGTTGTCAACGTGAGGGCCAAGCTCTCAACGTGTCTGGGTTTCCAAAACATGGCGACATTTTGATAGTTCACTGGAAATAACCTTGGATTGAACATTAGAAGACATTGGCTCTACCACCGCCTATTCTGGGGGGTCACTTAAGAGTTCTAGGCTGCAGTTGCCTTTAGTAAAAGGAAAAGGTCAGTTTGGATGATTTCTAATTTCCCTATCAAGTATAAAATTCTGTAATAATGCAACCTGTTGTAGCTAACATATCATAACCAAGCAAAGCGAATTGAGCCATTAGAAACCATTATGGAAAAAAAGGAAGGTGGCTTAAATGCAGCATTCCTTCTTGGGGGATTTTGTAGTAGTTGATGTGTGGTAATCAGGTTGTAAGACTGGACTGCATTGTGCTCAGTTCATTCTAACACACACGTGCACACATGTGCATGGCACACACTGCTTTTAATCAGCAGTTTCCAGCTCAGGTACTAACAGAACCACGCAGCTCATGTGACTGAGTGACGTGGCCAGGTGAGATCTAGGGATGATGAGGGAGCCATAGAAAGTGGGCAACGGATACTCAATCCTAATCCACTGTTGCCAATAGAGAATAGTGGGCTGGGTGTTTCCAGAGCTTAAGATGTTCGGTGAGAAGCTGAAAATCTGGCCTTTATGTGAAATCTCCCGCTCTTTCAATGTTGGATCAAAACCAAAAATCCCACTGTGTAGGCCCTAACAAAACTTCTTGGTGAGTAAAATTTGGGGGATGCCATCAGTTTGAGACCCTCTTGTAAATGGGGAAGATGCCTACTTGACACAAAACATCGTGTCTGTGGGATTAAATAGACGATCCCTTGGAGATAAATTAATTGCTGTATCTGGAATGAGTTACAAAATGTTAGTCAACCCTTACTCATGTCACTTAAGAGAATGGCACAGACAAATTGAACAGATCCTTCAAAAAAACCTTAGTTTCATTATTCATTTTTAACTCCTCATTCAAAGCTGCTAAAAAGCAGTATTCCATTAATCCGGATTGGACATTTATCTCTGCTGGTTTTCAGGTCATCTTCCCACAGAAGTAGCAGAACGATGGCCAAATGAATGTCACACCAAGCAAAATCAAGGGGAAGCGGCCAGTCAAAGGTACTTCCCCAGTAACATATATTGGCCATATGAGTTTAAATTTAAATACAGCCTTTCTCCCAAGAAGCCAAGAACAGCTTACATTTTGATCTCAGAATAGTTTTGTAAGTTAAATAAATGCTTCTATAAATTAACTAATAGAGAAAGATTACTATTCCCATTTAAAGATGGGAACATTGTTAAAAGATTCATTTTTGGTCATCCAAGCTGTGGCCTGAACTGAATACAAAAATGGGACACCTTTTCTAATAGACCACTTATTAACATCAGAAGCTGCTGAGAAAAGACAAGCTCAAATTCCTCTGGGCTGATACCTTGACGCACACAATCTTAGCAGATCCACACACAAAACAGTCTGATTCAATAACCATGACAGGCGTGTGCTTTATTTGTCTGATTAGATGGAGTTCCTGGCACAGGGGTGCTCAGTGTCTGGGGCACAGAGTCCATTTACTGGTGGTGTCTAGGATGCTGAGACTGTGTCGGAGGAGGTGTCCAGAGCTCTCTAACCCCCCCAGGCCATCTTGCCTTTGGCTGTATTTTCATGCAGGTCTTAAATCACTACATGTCTGTGGCTGTCGCTTTTTCCACCATCCAATTTTTATGTTATCTTAGATACACTTTGGACAGGTTTTGCACAGCTTGGATAAGATTGCATGCCTTGCCAAGATGGAGGCTCTGCCATAAATGGAAACAAAAGAGAAATCAAATCATAGGTTAGGAGAGTTTCTATAGCAATGAAGTATTATCCTCTATTGCATGTGCCTCTCTGCCACCTTCAGACCTTCAATATGACAGCCACTGGGGAGTCACGGTGGCCAGAGGCATTCTACACTGCTTAGAATTCTGGCAGAAGGGCAGTGAGACCTCTCCCAGGTGACCTCTCCATGTAAATGATGGCATAGAAAGTGAAGTGGAGATCTGGGTGACTTTTAATGAGACTGTTTGGTTACATTTAATCACTTATCTATTTAATTTGGGGTCCCTTTAGCGAAGGTAGCATTTTGTTAATCAGGGTGAACTTCTCCAATTTTTTTTTTTCTGTTAACACTACATCTTTCCCTATAAAATTTATGGACATGCTTCTTTCCTCTTTAGACTTGGATGTTTTGCTAGCTAATAAGACCAAGTGGCTAGTAAACCTTTCAAGTAACTGCCAGCAGCTCTTAAATTAATATTGTAGTTAGAAAAATGAAGCTCTTCATGAGAGATCTTATGTGAGGGATAAAAGAAGAGGCTACAGTGGAATTTTCCCTCAGTCTCTGCATACGCTCTCATCAGCAGTAATGTTCTTGTTTTATGCTCCCCTAAACAATACTTACTTTTCTGTGTATCCCAGATATAGTTGTTCAGAACTTCTCCCAGCAGGTATAGAAAGTTCATTAAGATGGTTGTAAACCCAAAGAAGATGATTCTGGCTCCCGGGCCAATGTGTTCCAGAAAAGGGTACACCCACATGCCGGTTACGTGATGCACCCAGCACACCCTGCAATGGAATTGGAAAGGAGACAAAGACAGGAGTCATCCTCATGGCAGACAGATGTCAACGCGGCCGTGTTGCAAACAGACACTCCCCACTCTCACCGCTCTTCAGCAGTTGCCAGCCTCAAGTTTGCTTGTGCTGCTCAGGAGCTACTGGAAACTTTGCTGTTCTTTGTTTTCTCTTACTTTTTAACCTGAAGTAATTTTAGACTCCCAGAAGACGTGCATGGAGTACAGAGAGTTCCCCTGCATCCCACACTCATCTTCCCCTCATGTTAGCATCTTGGATAATCCTGGGAGAGTCCCTAAAATTAAGAAATTGGCCAGATGAGGTGGCTCATGCTGGTAATGCTAGCACTGTGGGAGGCAGAGGTGGAAGGATCTCTTGAAGCCAGGAGTTCAAGACCAGCCTTGGCGACGTGGTGAGACCCCGTCTCTATAAAAACGTTAGCCAGGCATGGTGGTGCATACCTGTAATCCCAGCTACTTGAGAAGAAAAACAAAAAGGAAAAACTTAACATTGATACAAGAGTATTAATTAAGCTATGAACTTTATTCACAGTTCCCCAGTGTCTCCACCAGCATCCTTTCTCTGTTCTGGGATCCAATCCTGCAGCTCACATGGTATTCAGTCATCACGTCTCCTGAGTCTCCTGTGTCCTGGCAGTTCCTCAGTCCCTCCTTGTCTTTGATGACACTTGAAGAATTCTGGTCAGGTATTTAAAACTGCTGGCTTTATTAAGACTGTTAAACAATCTTTTAAATCTCTTCTTTACATAATGAAACAATGTAGCATTAGGCAACGATGCTATAATAAAACCTAGGTGAGTACGTGCCAGGTATTACTACCTTGCCGTACTGCCTTCCAACCAGATACCAACATGCTTTCCATATGCTGCTAGAACCATCCACAACCTACAGGCTACCAGGCTTCCCACTCCTCTGATCTTTGGATACCACATTTATTTCACTTTTTTCCTACTTTACATACTTAGTTGTAATAATTCTATTTGTGTTCTCAAGATATTTTTGACTCAGTGTTAATAGCAGCATCATTCATTGCCATTGCTTTCAAAAGTTTAGTTAGAATATTCGCTCCGTTGCCTTGGTCTTGACATGACTGTTATACAAAATATTCTTGAGTGCATTCCTTTATCAAATGTTGGCAATTTTGAGGACTATATACAAATAACTTTATTGCATTGAAAATGAAGATTACTTTTTATACATCCGTGTTTGAGGGTCATTTTCCTTATCCATGGCTTCACTCTTTAAGCAGTTTACTTACATATAACTTAGCTATACATGCACCTCATTTGAGGCAGGAAATCTGAGGATCTAAACCTTAGAGCTTATCACAGTGAGGGTGATATCACCCACTGCCCCCACCACAGGTAAAAATTCAAAAATTCATTCTGGAGGTGGTAGTGAAACAATTTTACTCTTTTTATGTAGAAAGCACAGATACATACATATATGTATATATACATACACGAATAAACTCATATATGTATACAGAAATATACGAATATAGATACACACACACACAACACATAAACAGATATATACTATATCTGTGGTCTTAAAATTAAATGGCCTAGCAATTGAACTCCTAGGTATATATCCAAAAAAAACTAAAAGCAGGGACTTGAACAGATATTTGTACATCAATGCTCATAGGTGTCAAAAGTTGAACCAACCCAAGTGTCCATCAACAGAAGAATGAATAAACAAAATGTTGCACATACATACAATGGAATATTATTCGGCCATAAAGCATGAAATTTTGATATATGCTATGACATAAATGAACCTTGAAGACGTTATGCTATCTGAAATAAGCCATGCATAAGACAAATATCGTATGATTCCACTTAGATGAGATTACTTAGAATAGGCAAAGTCATAGAGACAGAGAGCACAATAGAAGTTACCAGGGGCTGGGGGGAGTGGGAAACAGGGTGCTATTGTTTAACAGGTACAAAGTTTATGTTGGGAATGATGACCAGACTAAAGAATTTGTTTAAAAAACTAGCAAAGCTGAAAGAAAGAAATGAACATCTGATTTCTGTTTGGCTGCATGGATTTGCTTCCCTAAATGAGGCATTTAGTATTGTCTCCAAAATGGAAGTGAGGGTTGCTTGGTTTTTGTTGTTGTTTGGTTTTTTAGGTTTCCCTGACTTGGTAGCTCATCAAAGATCTCAGATACACATGTCCTGTTATTTGGGGTTTCACCCTGGATCAGTGTGAATGATGTATCCGCTTGTCCTAACAGGTTGTGTTTTCACCATTTGTTTCCTTGATATTATCAGGACTCAATTCTCTGCACAAAGATGACTCATGGCCTTGCTCATCTATTTGTGGAAAGTTCTTAGTTCTTGGTTGACTTTCAATTTTTTTCATTCTAAGGCCTTCTTGTCTTAGTGCCCAGATAGCTTATGCTTAAGGTAGTGGCACCAATTTTAACTTTAGTCTAAGAAATCGATAACCATGATGTGTGTGCTCATACATATATATGCACATATTAGTGTCATAAGATTTCTAGATTGTCTCTTTTATTAAATGTGCCTCCAATTTCATTCACTTTAACATGCAATTAAAAAATAACATTTATTCATGCCTCCTCTCTGAGTACTTTGCTGCACACTAGGGATACAAAAGCAAATGAGGTAGAAGTAATTCCTGTCTGCATGGAGTACAGTCTAAAGAGAAATACAGATATTAAAGGAAAACTTACAAGTGTAGTCAGAATTAAGGAAGAGTAAGTATGGGGATACCATGAGTAGTACATAGGGATTATTCCCTGATTTTTTTCTTAATTGTCTACTTATTATTATTCTTTCTTTCTCTTGTGTATTCAACTTTCTTTCAAACCAGTTTTTTCATAATTGGTAAAGATGTTCAAATGTCTTTCATTTAAGAAAAATGAAAAGTGTCCATCGGCTTCACAAAAACAACTCTATATCCCTTCTTCCCTTCAAAGACAATCTTCTCCAAAAAGGAGCCCACAATCACTGATTCCACATCTGAACTTTGTAGTCACTATTCTATCTGCAACAGTCTTCCTTCTTTTCTTGATACTCTACCAAGACATATTGGCTTCTTTGACATTAATTTCTCATGGTTTTCCTCCTTCCACTTTGCCTGCTCCTCTTGGTTCCCTTTGTAAGTTCACCCTTCACAACACTACCGTGAAATGCTGAATTTCCTTAAGGCTTGGTTTCTAAAGCTTCTTCTCATATCATGCATTCTCTATGGATGAGTTCATTGAGGGCAGTTGCACCATGTCCACTACCTATATGCAGATAATTCACACATTTACTTCCTAACCTTGATCTCTCCTTTATTCCAGAAGTTTATCAAACAGTTCTCAAGACATCTTATTTCGTACATCTCAAAGATACCTCAAACTCAATATATCTAAACCTAAAGTCATGGTCTTGCTCCAGAAACCTCCAGTATTCCTTGCCTCTGTGAACAGCACTACCATTTATCCACTTTTATAGCTCAAGCACCTGGGAGCCATCTTTTATACTTCCCTCTCTTTTATCACACATAGTCAGTTCATTACCCTGTCGTATCACACATCTCCCCAGCATGTGGATTTTTTCCATCCCTGTTACCAGCATCTTAATTTATGTCACAAACATTTCTGTCTGGAGAACTGTGATAGTTTCTAATTAGTCTCTACATCTATTTTTGCCTTCTTCCAATCCATCTCTACTGCTGCCGGAGTGATTTTTCCAAACCAGAAATCTGAACATTACATCCTTGCTTTCAACATGTTAATGGCCTACCACTGCTTTTTTGTTAAAGACCCAAATTTTCAACAAAGTCTAGAGAGCTCTTAGCAGAGTGGCTTTTACATGTCTCTGGCACCATCTCATGCTTTGCTCCTGCTCCTCCTTGCATTCCTGCTTCTCTGGCTTTCCTTTGCTACCTTGATTTCTCCACGTTCCCTCCTCCTCATGTGAATTTTCTGCTGATGCTTTTTGTTACTCACCTCTTAGACTAGTTGTTATATTTATTTATTTATTTATTTTGGAGACAGGGTCTCACTCTGTTGCCCAGGCTGGAGTGCAGTGGCATGATCACAGCTCACTGCAAACTCAAACTCCTGGGCTCAAGTGATCCTCCTGCCTCAGCCTCCTTTGTAGCTGGGGCTACAGGCACATGCCATGGCACCTAGCTAATTTTTTTTTTATTATTATTATTGGTAGAGACAGAGACTTGCTGTGTTGTTCAGGCTGATCTCGAACTCCTGGCTTCAAGTGATCCTCCTATCTTGACTTCTCAAAGCTGGGATTACAGGCATGAGCTACTGTACTTGGCCATATTTATTCTTTATATATTAGCTCAACTGTTATAACTGACCAATCATCACTCAGGAAAGTTTCCCCTGATCTACCAGATTGCATCGGCTTTTGTTAAGTTCTTACAGAACCATGAATACTCCCTTATTTTTGAAGCTCTTTCATTACTACTTACATTTGAATACCTTTATTTGAATAGTATGTTTTACCCCGTCTAGAATATACGTTCTGTGAGATGAGGGATTGTCTATTTTTATTTCTTCTTGTATTTGCAGCACTTACCACAATGTCTGTCACACACTAGAAGAATAAATGAATGAATAAAGTATTAATGGCATTTAAGCTGTGATAGGAAGGAGAGTAAATATTTTTTGAGTAAAGATGGAAGGAAATAACTTTCTAGCCAAAAGGGAGAACATGTTCAAAGACCTGAGAAAACGGGAAAGCTCCCAGATGTTTAAGAAGAACATATTTTTGACGAAATTAAGAAAAAGAGAGAGAGCATAGGAGGGACAGGCAGCTAAACCATTGGTTTTTAAGCCATGGGAAGAATTGTAGGCTTTATGCTAGTGTGGACAATAGAAAGCTTTTGGAAATATTAAATAACTTTGAAATAGATCAGACTGACCTGAAAACCAATTGTATCAGAAATGGTGGTGGTCAGGACAGGGGGGATGACATTGGGGATGAC